ACCACATCTTCCCTTGGTGCTCTTGACGTCCTTCCGCCTTAGGGTGGTCTCCGCCCCCCTCATTCCCTTTGTATCCCACACGCCGTTCCGCTCCGGGCGCCGGTTCCCCCTAACCTGCGATCTCCTCGGCCCACCTGCCGCCGCGTCGTGTCAGCGCCTTACGCCCTGTCTCTTCCCAATTTCTTCCTTCCCTTGCTGCGCACCTCTCATGCTGCTACCAACTTCCCGACGGCCATCCTCCGTCCTTGGGGAAGAAGTCGCCGTTGCTATTCTCTCATATTCCTTTGCCGCTTTCCGCTTAGATAATTCCTCTCTAGCTTTGGCGGTCTTGACGACTCCGGACAGCCTCTAGCCTCCTACTGTCTGTACTCACACTTTCGATCTTTTCACCATTCCTGCCTCCGATTTTCTCTGCCGTGCACAAATTGGTCGTATACAGTCTCTCGAGTGACGGGAAACCATTTGGGACTCGCCAGTCCCGACACCGGGAAAGTACAGGCCCGGTACTAACCCGAATTCCTACTACTACCCTAACTGCCTATAGCAGGCATGGGCTACCCCTAGGACAGACAGGCCCTAAGCGGCCTATGCTGCTAGACAGTCCTATAGCCTATAGCCGGGTCCGGTAGAGGCCGAAAGGCCGAAACAACAACGGTACCAGTCGGTCAGTCAGTCCGGTCTAGGTCTAGGTTAGATTAGTGAATCTATTGATAGTTTGGAAAAAAATCGGTTGAGGACTTTTGGCAATTCATTTTCGCATCGCAGTGTTGGTGGCCAACCAAGTTTTGTAGCGCTGAAGGTCTGAGGCGGCATCCCAGACTTCAGCTTGGTGATGACAGCCATAGCTGGCCTCTAAGAGGTTGCTAGAGCTGGGGTACTCTCAGCGCATCTACCCCCGAGGGTATCTGCGTGCGGCAGGGCTATTCTGAGGCTCTTCGGAGGGTATTGGTGGATGCTGTTGTTGGCGCCCTACGTCGCAGGGCTTCTGTAGCAGCGAGGCAGCCATAGCTGCCTTCTTCTTCATCGGAATGACTCATCGGCACTGAGGACTTCATCGCAGTTCAGGATCTTCATCTTGGTGGATGGCGCTTGCCTCTGGGAGGCTGTTTCAGTGTGGCGCTAGTCTCTGAGAGTGGGGTATTGGGTGTAGTGTGTGGTTATGAGGTGGCGAGATATTGAGTTGAACTCTGTAACGATAATTGGGGTTAATCGAGTTGAGTTGGCTTATCATCAGTGTTATATTCCGACTGTGATCTTCGCAGTGTCATCTTGTGATTGGTTGTTGGGAGTTTGTCAGAGAGAGAGAAACAATGTGTGTATTCTCCCCATCTGTGCATGGTTGACATTTCGTTGCTTATCTCTGGTCTGTGTACAGTGTGGACTCTGTCTCCTCTCCCCTTGTCTTGTGCATGTATGGGCATGTGTGAGATACTCTGTGCGTGAGTGGCGAGGAAATCGTCAGACAACCAAGTTCATAACAGTTGGTATCGGAGCGGGATCCGACTTGGAGCACTGAGGGTTGAGCGCAACAGAGGCATCTTCTCCTTCTGGCTCTACCTGGCGAGAAGATCCATGTGGGATCTCCATCTTCAGTGATAATACAGAGAGAGGAGAAGACCTACAAGCGGTGATTGCAAGGAATCAGTGTGCGATTAATCAGGTGCCCTGAGCCTGTCTGAGCGCCCGACAAGATTGGGTGAGAACAGGGGTATTTCGCCTTCCACCCTTCTGAGCTCAGTTCATGACTGGGTTCAGGGTGGCGAATTACACCCTAATCCAGAGATAACTGGGTGGCGGCATCAAACCCAGTATAGCGCTGAGGGAGAATTGATCGCAGGATCAGTCTCCTGTTGAATTAGCCCTAATCAGGGCTAAATTTAGCACCAGCGGCTTACCTTTGCAATGGCGAGAAATCTTCAGGAGAGTTCTCTAGAGCCACTGGATCAAATTCTCTGAATCTGGCACTTGGGGTTGAAGCGCCACATGGTACTGAGCACGATCAACAAGTTTCAGGAGATTCTACATGTGGGGATCAGTGGAGGAGTTCCTGCCAAAAAGTGGCGAGATTAGGGTCTCTGTCAGCCATAGCAAGAACTTCATCATCCACTAGAGTAAACACTGCAAGTGAGTGTGTTCCGTGTAAATCCCTGAGTAGTGATAGTTTAGAAGCAGTAGGGTTTGAATTGATGGTCTATCTGTCAGTAGGGTCTCAATTTATGAATTGTCTGACTGCAAGACAGCCATAGCCATCTTCTTCCTTCTCACCCTGACCCATATCTCACCATTTGTTGACCCTTTCTGACTCAAATTTGTTCTGGGACTGTATGACAGTATTGCGCTGCACCCTGTATGATCAGTCTGTGACTTCTGTACAGAAAAAGTATTAATACTGTGAATCTTAGTTTTGCGCTGAGTCTATTTTTAGCCGGTGCTATCTAGGGTCAGTCAAAACTTAGGATCTGTCCGTCAGAATTCAAGTCTGTCAGTCTGGGGTGAATCACAATTCAGTATTTGTCATCTGTGCCAAAGCGCTTGTCCAGAATCAATGAATTTGAGTAGTTATAGTGAAATACAGTAAATCGTTGTGTTAGTAAGTATTTTTGTTGATGTCAACAATGGTGAAATTTGAGTCTAGGGCTGTTAGGGTCTAGTCTACTGCATCGCTGCTACTTGTTGCTCTGTTTCAGTCATTTCTTGTCTGTATCTATCTTTACCACTGATTGTCTTTGTTTTCTGATGGGCTCTGGAATGTTAGTGATCCCTAGAATGTACTGAAAGTGTATGTTTCAACTTCAGTGATGGTTCGGCGTCAGATATAGGAAATCGTTAGTGAATGATTTTACTGGACTTTCAGTCTGTCTGATTGCTGACCCCAGGGATTGTATTCTAACCCTAACCATTTGTGCCTATTGACCCACCTTACCTGCGGAATTGATAGTGCAACGATTTTTGAGTGTCTGAGTGGATTGCAAATCGCTGCACCTCTTGCTGTCTAACCTTTTGTTAATTGTTTCTGAAGGGGAAAATGGCTGACGCCACTGACTCGGGTGAGGGGCAGGTAGAGATTGTGGTTAAGGGAGAAGAAAAACCTTCCCCCTCTACTCCTCTCCCTCCTCCTCTCACCCCTGCTCAGCAGCGAAAGAGAAAAATTGAGGCAAAACTGCGAGAGCAACATGCGATGCTCGCAGAGGCTGAGAGACAGGAGGTGGCTGAACTGGAAGCTGCAACAGACGCCTCTAGGAAGGAGTTTCTGCTGCAGCAGGCTGAGAAGACTGTGACAGATGAACGGGTGGCCCAGTGTACCAGGTACTTGGCTTAGCTGGTGATTCTGCAAAACAAAACCACGGCCAGTCACTTTACTAACTGGGATGATTGTATACAGCGCCTGGAGCGCAGGATGGATGAACTGGGGGCTCAGCAGTCCAAGATACTGGACGCGATCCAGAATCTGACTGCTCAGTTAACCGCAGCCAACTTGATTGCCCCTGTGATATCATCTCCAAAACCCAAACAGTTTTCCCCGCTTCCTTCACCTCCTCCCTCTCCTCATGGTTATCATCCGTCATCTCCCTCCACCTCCTCCCACTCTAAAGCCAAACCTCCTCCCACTTTTGCTGCCGTTGTTGCAGGGGATCAGCGAGGACCCAAGATCCCTGCGCCCAACAAGTTTAGGGGCGATGACCCCAAAACTGATGTTGGGGATTGGGCTGCCGGAACCCGGGCCTATCTGAAGGGTTTCGTGTGCCCAGAACAGCAGAAAGTGGCCACCGTTGTGGGCCTGCTGGAGGACCCAACTCAGAAACGGGCTGTGTCAACAGCCAGCGGTCAGCAGCAAACATTGGAGAATTGGGCTTCAGCGTTGGGAGTGGGGAAACTTTTGCAGGCCCTGGAGGACCGCTTTGCAGACAAGGAGAGAGCACGCAAGGCTGCTGACAAGATTACACGTTTGGGTCAGCAGCGCTATAGCAGCAGTCTGCAATCCTTGTTTGCAGAGTTTGAACAGTTAACCTCCACCCCTGGTCTGATCATGTTTGATGATGATTTACCGACCAACTTCTGCAGGGCTGCGCCTGAGAAGTTTGTTGTGGCATTGTATAGCGCAGGGCATAAGGATTGGAGATCCTTCGGCCGTGCAACCTCGGATATGGAAGCCAAGCTCCATGTCCAGGCCCCCTCCAGTGACAGGAGAAAAGGCGCTTTCCCTCGCGGTGGTAGAAAGGGAAAAGCGGTCTTTGTGCATGCAGGGTCTGACACAGCTTCTGATTCAGGATCCCGGCCTGGTACACCGCCAGAGGGGACTGCATCAGCTGTTGTTTCAGATGTTGCAGCGGCCATGCAAGCTGCAGGCTGCGCTGGGAGCCTTTCAGAAGGTCGGGTCTTCTTCCAGCACAGCCTCCAGCAGCCAGGGGAAGAGCAAGGGGCGTCGCTCTTCTACCCCTGCCCGGCGCCCTAACCTGCCAAGAGACACCGTTTCCCAGCTGACCCCCTGAATCCCAACACTCTCCCTTGGCATGATCTGAAAATTCAAGAGGGGGTGTGGAGAAAGAGGAAGGAGAGGGGGGTTTGCTTGAGATGTGAGGGGCAGCACTTCCTCAAGGACTGTCCCTACATGCCAAGCCTAGCACAGTCAAAAAAATTGAAGCTGACCCTGGAGACTGCAGTTCCCTCCAGTGCTGCATGTTCATCTGTTGATGGCGATGCACCTGCAGCAGCTTCAGTTGAGACTTTGAGTGACTATCCCAGTGTGGGGACTGCGCGGGCAGCATCCTTCTCCTGTAAGGATCCTGACCCGGATTAGGAACCGGAGCAGTCTGAGCTTTGGTCCCTTGCTGCTTTTTTCTTTCATCTGAAAGAACAAAAGAAGTGCAAGTCTGATCTCATCCTACTTCGGCCCTTGATCAACCATCTCAGAATCAAAGGGTTATTGGACTGTGGGGCCACCAGAAATTTCATATCTCCCAGTGCAGTTAAGAAACTGCATCTGGGCATGAAAGTTGTACAGCTGCAGCAACCGCTGCATGTCAGGATAGGTGACTCCACTGTTCTTACTATCAGGGAGAAGGTCAGAGGCATACCTGTTACCTTCAACAGCGCTGGAGAAGTCAGACATAGTCTGAAATTCTACATCTTCCCTGATTTGCCCTTTGATCTGGTATTCTCTATGCAGTGGCTGAAAGCAGTCAACCCAAGGATCGACTGACAGATCCCTAAGGTTGAGCTGCCTAACAGCAAGGGGGTGTATCAGCCATGCATGATTGCTGTTGAACACCACCCTAAGACCTCTTGCTGCTGCTTGAGAGCGAGGGAGTTTTATGCTCTCTCACGCCAGTATGATCATGAGCGTCTGTTTCTAGCTCTGGTCAAGCAGACAAACACTCCCCCTGTTTCCTGTCCTCCTGAGATACAGCAGGTGGTTGACCAGTATGCTGATCTGATGCATGAGCCCTTTGGATTACCCAACCGGCCAACCAAGCATCACATCGAGCTGCTGCCTGGAGCGGTCCCTCCCAAGGGCCGCATCTACAGGATGTTCCCTGCTGAGCTTGAGGAGCTCAGAAAGCAGTTTGAGACCCTGACCAGCAAGGGCTGGATTAAACCCAGCACATCTGAATTCGGTGCACCTGTTCTCTTTGTGCCCAAGGGGAACGGCGATTTCAGGATGTGCATTGACTACAGGGGTCTCAACAAGATCACTAGGAAGAGTACTGAGCCATTTCCTAGGATCGACGACCTTCTGGACATGGTGCAGGGCTGCACAGTGTTCAGCAAAGTCGACCTCAAATCTGGTTACCACCAGATTGAGATGGCAGAGGAGGATGTCTACAAGACAGTCTTCAAGACCAGGTATGGTACTTACGAGTTCCTGGTCATGCCATTTGGACTTTGCAATGCCCCAGACACTTTCCAAACAGAGATGCACCGCATCTTCAGGCCTTACCTGAACAAGTTTATGATTGTCTACCTGGATGATATCCTCGTATTCAGCAAAACTGTCAGGGAACATGCGGAGCACTTGGCTCTAGTCCTCCAGTCGTGACGTGACAGCCAGTATAAGATCAACAGAGAGAAGTCCTCTTTTGGAGTTCCCTCTGTCATCTATCAGGGTCATGTAATATCTGGAGATGGCCTGGCTCCTGAAGCGGCCAAGATTGCTGCTATTCAGGAGTGGCCCCAGCCTCAGACAGTGAGGGATGTTCGGTCCTTCATGGGTTTGGCCTCCTACTACATAAAGTTTGTCAGGAACTTTTTTGCAGTGGTTGCACCCCTGACTAACCTGACAAAGAAGGACACTCCCTTACTTTGGTCCCTCCACTGTCAGTTGGCCTTCACACGACTCAAGAAGGCCTTGACTCGTGTGCCTGTCCTGAAGCTACCTGACCCCACTTTGCCATTTATCCTGACCACTGACGCCAGTCAGTATAGCATAGGGGCAATGCTTCAGCAGGATGATGGGAATGCTCTACGACCTGTAGAATTCATGAGTAAGAAGATCAAGACTCAAAAGCTCTAGGACTCTACCTACGAGAAAGAGCTGTATGCTCTTGTATGTGCCCTGAAACATTGGAAGCACTTTCTCCTGGGAAGGCACTTCAAGATCTTTTCAGATCACTCCACCCTGCAATGGATGAAGTCCCAGGAAGAGTTGAACGATAAACTGGCACGGTATATTCAGTTCATTGACATGTTTGACTTTGAACTGAAGCATAAGAAGGGCTGCTACAATAAGGTAGCAGATGCCCTCTCTCGTAGGCCTGACTCTTTTGCGCTGATCTCCGCTACTCACTCCTTTGGAGAGGAGACCCGTCAGACCATTGCTCGTCTACTGCCTCAGGACGAGACTTTCGGACCCATTGTCAGGAATAGTTAAAATCAATAAAAAAGGCCATCATCTGCAAGCAGAATCCTAACTCTAAACCAGGCTATGCTCTGAGTTTAGATCTGTTGTACACTTACAACAGAGGTGAGGAACGCTTGTGCATTCCCCAGGACTAGCGGCTCAGGACACTGCTGATGTCAGAGTGTCATGATGCCCGTGGACATTTTGAGTTCCTAAAGTCTTATGCAGCCCTGTCGCAGCGCTTCTTCTGGAAGGAGATGCGGAATAATATGCTGCGTTATGTGGACACCTGTGAGCTCTGCCAAAGGAACAAGGTTCGGCGTAAACCTCCTTTGGGACTGCTCAAACCCTTACCCATACCTGATGGCCCTACTGAATCTGTGTCGATAGACTTCACAGATTTAGGCAAGACCACCCCTCGTGGCATGCGTCAGGTTATGGTCTGCGTGGACAGGTTCTCCAAATACGCAGAGTTCATCCCCTTGCCAGAGGTAGCTAGAGTACCGACTGTGAGAGCAGCCTTCTCTGAGAGGTGGGTGACACACCATGGAACGCCCACTTCCATAGTCAGTGATCGAGACCCCAGATTTTGCAGCGATGAGTGGCATTCCTACTGTAAGGACTATCTGCACTCAAGATTGGACATGACTTATGGTCGTCATCCTGAAGCCAATGGTTTGGCTGAGGTGATGAACCAAGTCTTATTCCAGCTGCTGCGTCCTGTCATCTCTCCAGATCAACAGGACTGGGATCTTCACTTAGCGAGGGCACAGCTCATGTATAACATGTTTGTCCACTCCTCGACAGGGTTCAGTCCCTACCGGTTACATTGGGGACGTGAACCACGACAGTCTCTCGATGATATCATCGATAAGGCTAAGCCTGATCTGACCCCAGGCACAACAGAGTTTGTCAGGCGCTATCGTCTAGATGTAGAAAGAGCCCGCGCGAACTTGTTCAAAGCCCAAAAGGCTATGATTGAACAAGCTTATCGCCACAGGCGGCCTTCCCCCATCCGCACTGGTGATCATGTCTGGGTGGCCAGCTCCGAGCTATCGAGGGAGGAGGATATCTCCTCCAAGCTGTTGCCACGTTACCTGGGTCCATGGCAGGTCCTAGATACAGTGGGAGCTGATCCCTTCGGTCCGTCGTACGTCATCGACGTCCCGCTGCATCTACCCACCTACCCGGTCTTTCATGCATCCAAGTTGCTGCCTTTTACGCCAGCTGATGCGTTCCCAGACCGGCCCCCTCAATTCGGTCCACCCATCCCTGGTAAGGGATATGACATTGACCAGATTAAGGATGAGTGGGGCACAGGCCCTGACCGGCAGTATCTGGTCAGGTTCGCTTTCCAGCCCCCTTCTGAGAGCCGGTGGTTCTACAGAAGAGACCTGATCAAGACAGCAAAGTCCATTGTCCTGTGATACGAAGCGGCTCAGAAGGGTAACCTTCCTCGCCGTTCGCCTCGCCTACACCCCTAGCTCGGAGGTCCTCGCTCCCGGGGAGGGTAAGCCTGCAATGACTTGTTGATTTCTGCTGCCGAGATTGACTGCGATGTTGTACACTAACCGGTAGGGTTAGATTCGTAATCTTGTTTGGCTGAGGGCTAACCGAGGGACCTGCCTGTAAGGAAATTCGTGAGGGACAGATCTGCAAGTCCTGAAAAGTACAGGCCCGGTACTAACCCGAATTCCTACCACTACCCTAACTGCCTATAGCAGGCCCGGGCTACCCCTAGGATAGACAGGCCCTAAGCGGCCTATGCTGCTACACGGTCCTATAGCCTATAGCCGGATCCGGTAGAGGCCGAAAGGCCGAAACAGCAACGGTACCGGTCGGTCAGTCAGTCCGGTCAAGGTCTAGGTTAGATTAGTGAGTCTATTGATAGTTTGGAAAAAAATCGGTTGAGGACTTTCGGCAATTCATTTTCGCATTGCAGCGTTGGTGGCCAACCAAGTTCTGTAGCGCTGAAGGTGTGAGGCAGCATCCCAGACTTCAGCTTGGTGATGACAGCCATAGCCGGCCTCTGAGAGGTTGCTAGAGCTGGGGTACTCCCAGCGCATCTACCCCCGAGGGTATCTGTGTGCGGCAGGGCTATTCTGAGGCTCTTCGGAGGGTATTGGTGGATGCTGTTGCTGGCGCCCTACTTCGCAGGGCTTCTGTAGCAGCGAGGCAGCCATAGCTGCCTTCTTCTTCGTCAGAGTGACTCATCGGCACTGAGGACTTCATCGCAGTTCAGGATCTTCATCTTGGTGGATGGCGCTTGCCTCTGGGAGGCTGTTTCAGTGTGGCGCTGGTCTCTGAGAGTGGGGTATTGGGTGTAGTGTGTGGTTATGAGGTGGCGAGATACTAAGTTGAACTCTGTAACGATAATTGGGGTTAATCGAGTTGAGTTGGCTCATCATCAGTGTTATATTCCGACTGTGATCTTCGCAGTGTCATCTTGTGATTGGTTGTTGGGAGTTTGTCAGAGAGAGAGAAACATTGTGTGTATTCTCCCCATCTGTGCATGGTTGACATTCCGTTGCTTATCTCTGGTCTACGTACAGTGTGGACTATGTCTCCTCTCCCCTCTCTTGTGCATGTATGGGCATGTGTGAGATACTCTGTACGTGAGTGGCGAGGAAATCGTCAGACAACCAAGTTCATAACACATACACCAGCACAGACCAATGATAATTCCCTTCTTCTTCACCAACCACTCTCCTCCTCCTTCTTTCCTTCCCTTGTATTCAAACATAAAATAATAGTAATAATGTTGAATGGCTGAACCAGAATCAATGTTCGAATCCCTCTTCTACTACAGGCACAACATGAGGTCCACCATAGCCATGGCCACCCGTCTTCTTCCTCTTCATGTAGGCCAAGGCTATGGCTGACTACTAGGGCCTCACCCTGCTGTGCAAAGGACAACACAAAGCAGTTATGCTCACTGCTGTTCAGGCCGCCGTGCCTGACCCCGCCTTGAAGCCTTCTTGGTGCGGTGCAACCCCAACTGGGGCCTTCCAAATGCAGCGCCTAACAAGGTGATGAAGAAGATGCCCACCATAGCTAGGTAGGTACCTCCCCAATCTCCCTCCTAGCCCTCTTCTTTCTCCTCTTCCTACCGGTCGAGCTCCACCATAGCCGTGGAGGGAACTCCCGGTCTCCTTCCTCCTAGCAGCGCTGTAATGCCCAACGCTTCTCCAGCCAACGCTCCAAGCAGTATGTCGCCCAACTTGCACACCGAGGAAT